ATCTCATTTTATCCTTTGTAAGAATTCTTGAACTTAGTAATGAGTGAGTTGGTTTCGCATTAAAGTTAACTAGGAGTCTCATGGTGTACTACCTGCTGTGCTTCTTCTTAGGATCTCTTTCAAGTCTTAAATCCACTTTAGATAACCACCCAAAACCAGAAGAATGAGGACTGCAAATAAGCACAACAAACTAGTCTTTCCTCCTTCCAGTCAAATGATATAAGTGGCCAGAGTCAGCAAAGAATCTTTGAGCTTTCATTGCCTCAGTACATCTGGCAAGCAGGGAAGGTCATAGATGGAAGATCTTGTGACTGTGTCCCAGTTCAACTACCGGAAGTCTTGCCTAGTTGAATGGGTTGTATTTTTCAGGCTCTACTCCATATCTCCATTACTAGAAGTCCTTACTAGGGTCACCTCCACATGTTCCAGGAAGTTTCTACTGCCTTAGTTTTCCACATTGCCTCCCAAATACCTCAAACTTCCAGTCTATCTCTCTTTATATGGTCTTCTTTCATCCCTAGCTCTCCTACCTGATTCATCTCACTTGCTCAGTTAGGGTTTCCCCAAGATATGAATTGTTTGTTGCTACTGTGAAGGGGGTTAATTCCATGAATTTATTCTCAACTCACCTGTCATTTGTATATAGAATATTGATATTGATTTTGATATTGATCTTTTAAAAGTTAATTTTGTGTCCAGGCACTTTGTTGAAGATGTTTATCAGATGTTGGAGTTCCCTAGCTGAATTTTTGGGGTTACTTATTTATACTGCCATGTCATCTATAAATAATGATACTTTTATTTTATCCTTTCCAATCTGTATTTGCTTTATCATCTTTAGTAATCCTATTGTTCTAGCTAGTACTTCTAGTAGTGAAGATATGGAGAACATGGACAGTCTTTTCTTGCTTTTGATATTAATGGAACTGCTTTATGTTTCTCTCCATTTAATTTGATGTAGACTATAGACTTGCTCTTAATTGCCTTTATATCTGAGATGAAGATCATGGTAGATGACCTTTTTTTTATATGTTCTTGGATATGGTTTGTTACTATTTTATTGAGTACTTTTATTTCTATATTCTTAAGGGAAACCGTTTGATAATTCTCTTTCTTTCCTGAATCTTTGTATGGTTTAGGTATCAGGGGATGATGTCCTTATGAAATAAAATTTTCAGTGTTCCTTCTGCTTCTATTTTCTAGAACCATTTGAAGATTGTTGGTATTAACTCTTCTTTGGAAATTTAGTGAAATTCTTCACTAAAATCATCTGGTTCTATGCTTTTCTTTCTTTGATTGGGAGACTTAAAATGATTGCCTCTTTTTCCTTAGGAGTTATAGGTTTATTTAAATTGTTTATCTGATTTGATTTAGCTTTGGTTGGTGATATCTATAGATAATATTATTCCTTCTTTTAGACTTCTCCAACTCTTGGGAATACAGGTTATAAGCATGGCATGAGGATTCTTTGGATTTCTTTAGTGTGTATTGCTACGTCCTCCTATGTTTTTCTGATTTTGTTAATTCCAATGTTCATTCCCAATCTTTTAGTTAGTTTGGATAAGACTTAATTAATCTTGTTGAATTCCAAAAAAAAAAAAAAAAAACGAACTCCTTGTATTCTTCTTTGTGTTCTCGTTTCTTTTGTATTGATTTTAGTTCTCAGTTTGCTTATTTTCTGCTGCCTCCTCCTCTTGGATGTTGGATGTGCTTGCATCTTTTTTCTTTTCTCTAGGGCTTTCATGTATGCAGTTGTTAGTTTAATATCCCCCAAATTTTTGTAGGTGCTAGTGATATAAATTTTCCTCTTAGCACTGCCATCATTGTGGTCCATCAGTTTGAATACATTTACATTCACTTTCATTAAATTCTAGGAATCATTTTTCATTCTTATATTTATCCTGACCTAATAGTAATTTAGTAGAGAGTTCTTCAGTTTACTTTGCTCTGTAGTCTTTCTGTTGTTTCTGTCATTCTTGAAATCAAGCTTTAATTCATTGTGTTCTGATAGGATACTGGAGGTTATTTCAGTTTTCTTATTTCTGTTGAGACTAGGATTTTGACTGACCCTGTTTGAGAAAGTTCCTTAAGATGCTCAGAAGAAGGTGCATTTCCTTTGTACTTGGATGGAACGATATGCAGATATCTATTAGGTCCATTTGGTGTGTAATATCTGTTACCTCCATTATTTCTCTATGTGGTGTTTGTCTGGATGCCTGTCCCTGATGGGAGTGGGTTGCTGAGGTCTCCTTCCATATGTGTGAGTTCATTGCATTATCTAAGTTTTAGTAAATGGGTTTCTTTGTGTTTTGGTATAGGTGTTAAGAATTGAAAAGGCAGACTGAAGAGATCACTCAGCCATTAAAAACTAGGCTCACAACCAAAAACATAAGAATTGAAAAGTCAATTGGGTGGAATTTTCCATTGATGACTATGAAGTGTCCTTACCTTTTTCCTTGGATTAGTTTGTGTTTGAAGTCTATTTTGTTATATATTAAAATGGATAAGCCAGTTTGCCTTTTAGATCTATTTCCTTGGAAAATCTTTTTCAAAACATTTACTCTGAGGTAACTTCTATTTTTGACGTAAAAGTATATTTTTTTGTGCAAAAGTGTGATGGGTTCTGCTTTTGTATACATCCTGTTAGTCCTTATAGTGCTTTGTAGAATTAAGACAATTTATACTGAGAGATATTAGTAAAAGAAATTGATAATTCTTCTTATTTTATTGTTATTATTTTTGTTGGTGGTAGTGGTGGTGGTTTGTGTGTCCCTTTCTTTTGGTTTTCATGGTCTTAGATTGTTTATTTCCAGTGTTTTGTGGACCTAGTTAACCTCCCTGTATTAGATAGTTCCTTCTAGTATTCTCTGTAGCAGCAGATTTATCTAGAAATATTGTTTAAATTTGACATTGTCATAAAATACCACGTTTTCTACATCTGTGGTGATTGAAAGTTTTCCTAGATGTTATAGTCTAGGCTGGTACCTGTGGTCTCTTAGAGTTTTAGAACAGTTATCCAGGCTGTTCTGTCTTTAGAGTGTCCATTATGAAATCCTCTGTAACGATATGTTTGATTTTATTAGTGTGACCTGTAGTTGAGCAGAGGTTTTCTAGCAGAGGTTGGGGACTGGACTTCTGATGGTTGGTGTGGTCTCTGGTCAAGCAGGGCATCTCCTCTGGAGTTAGGGGTTGGGAAATGATGATAAGGAAAAAGGGGGGGGGGACTGGTGATAGATTGGGAGGCCTGAACTGAGAGAGTAAGGGTTATCCCCTGATAAGAGGCCTTCCTGGAGTTCTAGAAGTCAGAATGTGTTGCTTGCTTTCCTGGACTACCAGCCCCCAAATCATGACATGCAGACTTACTAAGAATTATAAATGCTTGGCCTTAGTTTAGGCTTATTTCTAGATAGCTTTTTAAACTTATTTTATTCTGTTTCACTCCAATTAAGTTTTGCCTCGAGACTTTTTACCTATCTTCCATTCTGTATATCCAACTTTATAGCTTCTTCTGTGCCTGGTTGACTGGACCCCAGCTGGCTAGCCCTAGCATGCTGGCCCCCTATTCTTTCTGCCCTCCAAGTCCTGCCTATCCCTCCTCTGTCTAACTATTGCCAGTTCCACTTATTATTAGACCAACCAGGTACCTTAGGCAGGAAAGATGAAATAAAACCACAACTTTGCATACTAAAACAAATGCAACACATGCAAAATCAACCCACATTTGCTTAACTATTCAAATGAAGCATGCATAAACAAAAGCAACACATTTTTACATAGCTTAGTAATATTCTGCAACACAGATGAATGTGAGACATCTTGACATAGTTAACAAATATTCTATTCCAAAACAAGTGTGGCCTATATCTTAGAGAAGGGTCTCTGACTGAATGTGGGCTGGGACAAGGCAATGAAGAAGGTTAAGAGAGAATAGTAGTAGTGGAGGCAAACACTGAGAGTCTGGGAGTGGTTCCTGAGGCTGGGCAACTTACCTGGCGTTCTGGGGGCCTGTTTGACCTCTGGTGCAGCCAGGTTCTTCCACATGAGTTGAGGGTCAGAGTGTGGCAAAAAGAAGGTAAGGAGAAACTGAGGTAGAACATCAGGGCAGCTTGATTGGAGGTGTTACGGAAGTATAAACTAAAGCCATAGGAGACTTATTCAGTGGAAAAAATATAAAATTTTCCTCTTCTTGCAAAAAAATGTATATGCCAAAGTAAAGGAGACATTTGGAACATCAACCAAATATAATCAGTAATGACGTGGGATTCCCTTCTGTATGCTATGAATATATTTATTACCATTGGTTATTAAAGAAGCTGTGTCAGTCAATGGCTTAGTAGAGTAAACCTAGGTGGAAAATCTGAACAGAGATATAGAGAGAAAGTAGGTGGAGTTAGGGAGATGCCATATAGCTGCCAAAGGAGAACCACAGGGAAAATTTCTTATAAACCACAGTCCCGTGATGACACACAGATTAACAGAAATGGGTTAATTTAAGATATAAGAGTTATATCCCAAGCTATTGGTCAAGCAGTTTTATAATTAATATAGTTTCTGTGTGGTTATTCAGATTTGAGCAGCTGGGAAACAAAAGAGCAATCTCTGCCAACACAGTAACATACCGATTCAAGGTGCATTACAGTGAAAATCCTAAAAGAACTGAAGGAACAAAGACTATTGACCAGTTCAAGTCACCTTTCCTTATAAAGCAAACCAATCAGAATGCCAGCAGATATCTGAATAGAAACTCAGAGTCAGAAGACCATTGAATGAAACAATACTAATCAATATTACCATAACCTGGGAAGTGATCTTTCTGAATTAAAGGAGAAATGGAAGAGTTATCAAGCTAAAAATATATTCAATGATTTCAGGATCAGTTATACAGCATCTAAAAACAATATAAGAATCCTTATAAGGTCTCTAAAAAAAACCAACCAACCAAACAAACAAACAAACAAACAAACAAGAATCCTTATAAGGAAAAAGAAACATAACAAAACCTGTGGTATATGGCCAAGGAACAGCCTCAGCAGAGAAGTGTGCCTGTTCTGAATCTGGGATGTCTGGACGGCGATGTCAGTACCCGAACACAGGATTCTGATGCAAGGTGACAGGTTATCAGCTGCAGGGCAGGTTCTTCTCTCTCTTTCTTTTTATCCCTTCCTTTCTGACCTGAGCTTCAAACCTCAGGCTTTTATTGTGAATTTTCAACTTGGAAACTGATTCTTTCTTCTTGCCACAGGTTAATCATTACATGGGCAAAGCAGTTCACAAAAAGTACAAGGACTCTTTGAAATCAGAACATCATCATTCATCATCACATTTCCCCAGTTCCCAAGCCCCATGCCAGCCACTATATTCTTAATTCTTGCCTGAGTTAATCATAAAACAACTTCTGAGGCTTTCGCCACAGAAGCTAACTACTTGGGGTTTCAAGAAGCATAGTTCAATGGGTTTTACGCCATTGTTTTACCTTTCCCATTGTTGGTCCTCATAATTCCAGTACATATCATTTTGATTTACAAAGTTGTTGGCAGTCAGCCCTAAAGCCCTAGGTTCTTCAGAAACTTCATTCTTCATAGCTAGGTTCTTTTCTTTTTCAGTATAATTCTTTTTGCCAAGTTTCATAATCAGGCAAAAAACAATTTCTGAGTTTTGCCCAAATTTCCTCAATTCTTTCATTAGTCAGCTGTTTTCCCATGACCTGCTGTCCAGCTTTAATGCCTGCCCACTCTATCAGATCGGGAAGACTCATATTATTCTACAGCACATCCATATTTTCAGAAGCCACTGGTGTGGAAGGAGAAAAGAACATGAAGAACAAGTACACTAGGAGAATTGTTATAACCACAGTCATTGCCAAATGCGTATGCAGGTGCCAGAGAAGTGGCCCTCAGGGCATGTACATGTTTTCTCCTTTGCCCTCAAGTAACACACTCATTTAGCTGCCACTGGGTTGCCTGTAAGGAGTTGCTTCCTGCATTTTAGGAACCATGCTTGGAGGGGCCTATGTTTTTCCATCTTTAGTAGAATATAAATATGAGTGTCTGTAAAAAAACTCATTTTGATATCAAGATGGAGTCTTGATATCATGATATCATGGCGCACCTATCATCCCAATACTTGGCAGATGGAATTAAGACGATGAGAAAGTCAAGGGATGAATTAGCTACAACATGAGTTAAAAACTGTGCTGACCAACAAGAGACCCTGCTTTAATTCCTCATTATAAGAAGTGTCATTCACTGGAACACAAAAAGAAAGGAGAAGCAAGAAAAAACAGCTGTACTGAAAACCAGTAGAGCAATGTCAATGGTCATTATATATTAAAAGAAAGAACAATACATTAAGAGAAAGGATGAGAGCAAAGAGGTATGCACTGAATGTTGGTGCAAAGAATTCCACAGAACAACAATATTAGATGTGAACACCACCACACATATACAATTAATCATATAAATAACTTAGTTTTGACAACAAAAATTATCACGGGTGTTTCAAACTTAAACTGCATTATACATCAAACGTCCTCACCAGGTAAGTACAGAGAGAATATTCTACCCAGAAACAGCAGGTTAAATCTATCAGAAACTCAGAACATTGTCCAAAATGAAATATGTTTCAGATGGTAAAAATATTTTAAAAAGGCAGGGGATGAAACTAGAAATTAACAAGTTAAAGGTTTTAGAACATATAAGAACATGTAGAGATAAAACACTGTACTTGGAAATGATCAGCAAGTCCCTGAAGACATCAATGAGGTGGTAAGTATGGTACACACATGCAGCGGAATTACACTCTGCTATAATGAGTATTTAAATGGTGATATTTACTGGTAAGTAGAAGGAACTGGAAAACATACTGAGTGGGGGTAATCCAGACCCAGGGATAGCAATATCAGCATATTCATTCCTATTTGTAGATACTAATTTCAAATCTTTAGATTTCCGTATACAAGTTGATGTGAATGAAGAAAGTAGGAAAGAAGTAAGGGACCGTGAGGACAAGACGGGAGAAAGAGCTCTAGGGAATATAAGGTGATAGAATGATTCGGGTGCTACAAAAGTAGTAAGAGAAAATGGGGACTTTAGCTGGGAGGGATAAAAGGGTAAAAATGTGAGGAGGAAGGGAAGACGGATAAATGACAGTAAGGATATGTACCCTTTACTCTTTCACCTTTTGATAAAGTGCCACAATCAAAGCAACTTAGAGGAAAGGGGTTTATTAGGGTTTGTAATTCCAAAACCACAAGAGTCCATGATGGCAAAACAGAGGCAAAAGACCTGGAGGATAAACTCAAACAGTAAGCAGGAAAAAAAATGACTGGGAATGATGCAAATCTATGGAACCTCAATTCTTGATCCAGTAACTTATTTATTCCATCAATGGTTCATCTTCCTAGACTTCCCTAGTCAGTACCATAAACTGGGAACCAGAACCTTTGGAAGAAATTATCAATAGAACCACCACATGGTGTAAATAAATAATACACATAATATATGTATAGATACATATGTGTTTATATATATTTATTGGAGTTACAGTATGTGATTTCATGGTACTCTTACCAAGAATCATGAACTATCTAATGCCAGTGTCAGCCATGGGAATCCTTCACTCCAGTTCTTGAATGAAGGAATGCAGTTGTCCTCAAAAACAATATGGGCTCTTGTCATTGCATGGGTTACTTTCAGATGTTGGAAAAAGACTGGTATTTCTGAAGACATTATGTGATTTGTACATGGACTTGAAGGAATTTATTTAGAACTCAAGCTGGTAGCCTCCTCTCTGAGGAATATCTCTCATTGTGTAGGAAGGTTTTATATAAGCTGCCAAGTGGGGAAAACAGATCCTACACAGCTGGGTAACTCATAAACCACAGCAACAATTGGTTTAGCAAGAAATACTCAGCAATCCAATAGTGATGTTTTTATCTTGGGATAAAACAACAGCTGTCTAATTGAGAGAAATCACAGTCTATGGAATGAAATTCATACCTGTTAGTTATGACATAGCCAACTTTTCATGGTTATAGAGGTCATAGACTTTAGAAGAAAACATAGAACTCCCAATTTTCTAACATTATAGTATTCTAAACATCTTTAAACTCAGTGATGAGCTTAGTATCAAAGAAGCATCTTAGTGCAACAGATGGAAACTTTTACAAAAGATCTACAACGTACTTGAATGCAGAAAATTAACCATGAGGTGCCTACTCCAACTGATATATCTTTAACATGTCACCAAACTAAGTCAAAGCTTCAGGGGATATCCCAGAAAGAGACCAGAAACACTGTGAGAGTCAGAGATTCAGAACGACTTGAGCTTCTAGACACGACAGAACTTCAGCACAAAGCTCAACAAGAAGATTTCCTGAAGAAGACTTACATAATGACACCATTAATTGACATGCTGACACAGATTGGAGAATTCCCACAAGGTCCAACCTTGTGGAATAGATTGAAAATAAATGAAATGAAAAGTTGCAGGAGGTCAGTGGCTGCTGGAAGAGTATCAGTGTCCTCCAGAGAGGAGCTTCTGCATGAGTATTTCACTTTTGACTGGTCAACCCTGGACACATATCCATGAAACCAATGCTAAATGGACTCAGTAAGTAGTATACCCATTGAGGAAGGGAGGGGTTTGAATTTGGAAAGGGGAGGAGGAAAACAAGGGAAGTTATGTAAAAATACATTCCTGATGTGTGAAGTTCACAAAATGTATTTTAGAGCAACACCAGAAAAACCTGTGTAATGCACTTGACTAACATAGTAAAGTTGTAGAACATTATTTTAATGTGTGTTACTTTTGTTTATGCTGTGGAACATTTGTTTAGTGATGTAAAAATATATTATTTTGTTTATGTTGTATTTGTTTATCTGTGAAGCTGTGATTCTTTTTTTTTACCTGTCTAAAACACTTAATGGTTTCATAAAGAGCTGAATAGCCAACAAGGAGGCAGGAGAAAGGATAGGGAAAACTAGCAGACAGAGAGTTTAAATAGAAGGAGAAGTCTAGGAGAGAGGAGAAGAAACAAGAAAAGGAGAGAGGACATTAGTGGCCAACCACCCTGCCACACAGCCAGCAAAAGAATAAGAATCAATGTAAGATATGAAGAAGTAAGAAAAGGAAAACGTCCAGAGGCAAAAGTAAATGGGATTATTTAAATTAAAAGCTCATTAGAAGCAAATGAAAACCAGGCATTTTGTTAGTAAGAATAAGCCTCTGAGTGAGTGATTTATTTGGAAGCTGGGTGACAGTCTCCCAAAAGACTAAAAGAGTAAAGAGTAAGTAGAAAAAAAAAAAACTAACTACATTTTGGCGTACCTAAGTGAAACTCAAATTTTCATGTAGAGCCCGAGAAAGCTAGAGAGAGAGAGATGGAGAGAGAGTGGGGGGAGGCTCTGTTAAGAAACCCTCTGTACAGCAGAGCATTTAAAGAGGATTTTTCATGCTAAGTAGAAACAAAAAATTAAGTAAAAAGCTTCTGCCATATGCAAGCATAGCATCTACTTTATAGAGTTATGGGGTTTGAATGCAGTTCCTAGTCACACCTCCAACAGGGCTACAAGCTTTGGGCTTTGCTTTTAGGATCCTAGAGTGGGTAGAGCCAGCCTACACAGCTGGATCCAGGTGTAGCTTAACAGTCTAAAGTTCCTTTCTGATGACAACAGGGTTAAGCACCAGTCTATGGGTATAACAGAATTTTATCAGGAGTCATTCCATTGACTCTCTTTTTCCCACTTGTATTTGGTTCTCTCCTAGGTCTAGGGTATCTTACTTCTGGGTCCTGGTCCTCAGTGGGGAACACCCTCTCAGGATAGGGAGCATTTTCTATTAATTAATTAATTTATTTATTTACTTACTTACTTATTTACTTATTTATTTATTTACATTTTAAACTTTTTAAAATTTTACATACTAGCTTCAGTTTCTCCTCCTTCCCCTTTCCCACTCCCACTACCTCTCCCTATCCCACCCACCTTCCACTCCCCAGAGGAGGTAAGGCCTCCCTTGGAGAGTCAACAAAGTCTATCATACCAAGTTGAAGAAGGATCAAGACAGACACACCCTGTATCAATGCTGAGCAAGGCATCGCACTATAGGAAATGGACTCCAAAAAGTCAGTTCATGTATCCAGGATATCATGTATCCAGCCCACACACCTGACAGATCATAACTGTCAACCACATTCAATGGGCTTA